TAAGATTGTGATTAAAAGTGAGCATTTTGAAGTCTGAACTCATGAAGAAAGTGAACCCCGCTGCCGTCAGTACCGATTACTGATCATTCAGTAAAAAAAAAAGCCTAAAGGAGAGGCAGATCCTGGAAAGAAAGCTCACAAACCCATTCTTGTAAAAATACTGTCTACGCTTCTATCTCTAACTTTCTTCAGTACATTCGTTTTCATATTTCCTTTTATTCCCTTCCCTTTCCAAGGACAAACTGTCAGCAAAGTGGCTTGGAAAAAATATACGTGAAGAAATCTGTTGAGAACAACTGAAAGCAGAACCACGGTGATCCAATCCATTGCACTTTGCTGGCTGCTCTGTGTGAGGAGTGATTTTGTTGTGCAGCTCAGCACAACTGAGATCTCTGCTAGTGCTAGTTGCAAGTCATCAATTCTGTGGTGTTAGAAAATCGCTTAGGCTTATTAAAAACAAGAACTCACAGCCGGATAACAAGTACCTGCCGGTACACAAATATTTTTAGACCATTTTTAAAGTTCCTGGAATGGGCTGTTTTTTCTGTGTTCACGTTTACCTGTTTATCACCCTCAAGAATCCTGCCCCAAAACCACACTGATCAATCTTAATAGCCATGATACAGCAGCGCTCAAGACCAGTCAGACCTATTTGAGGGTATTGTATATCGGTACTAATAAGAGTTACTGAGTGGAGAACTAAAGTGCAATAGTTGCAACAAGCGGCAAAAACTACTTTGAAATAATTCTTTGCTGCAGCACTTTAAGGAGGACATTGCATTAGCAGCTTATTTCAATAATAAAAACTTCTGAAAGACTGGAAATTAAGCATTCCAAATGAGCTTTAACCATAGCATAAGAGGTTTCAGGTTTAATGGACAAAGCCTGTTCCCACTAAATGTACCCTTGTACTGCCAAGAGGGCTTTGAAATACGCTATAAAACCTAGAAGTGGCAAGTTTGGGGCTATTAGTGTCAGAGTCAGGCAAGCCAAGCAATTCTAAACTGAGGTGATCTTGGTATGAAAGAAATCTGTTTGCAAGAACTTTTATGTTCCCCTTCACTCTGGAAACCAAAGTTGTTCCCCTGAGAAGCTAACTTGCTTCTGAGGCATTTGCTGAGGCATAAAAAATACTACAGATGACTATTTGAATCATTTCCAAATAATGAAGTCTCTCTTTAAAATTTGATCTTGATGAACGTTCAAAGTGCAGGAAAAAAAAAAGCACACACAAAAATTCCAAGAACCTTATAAAAGCATCTTGTAAAATAACAGTGCTCTTCAGTAACACAAGACATCCTATGATTAACAACTACAGATTAGTAAAGTCCATAATTCTGGACTGAATGAGAAGAAAAACTACTTGTTCTAGCATTTACTTATTTTGCAAAACTCAAAACGTTATCATTTTTCATTGTGAGATAAGCAGCACAGACTTTGCTAACAAATATTTCAGCTTGAAAGAGGAAAAGGGAAACCACAAAAAAAATTAACAGCAAAGGGGAAACAGCCTTTGTCCTTTGAACAGCCTGTGATAAATGAGGACAGGTCAATGAAATGATAGTCTCACTCTCCAAATAGCTGCAACAGAGCGATCGTAACCATAACCTTCATTTTGTCAACCCTTACAGATGTCTTAGATGCCTGAGGGCATCCAGCCATCTAGGCAACTGAATTAAGCTCCTGGTCAGGTGACGAACTTTTGAGGCCTCAATGACGCGGAGGTCTACTGACTAGGCCTATAACGAAGCTTGTACAGCTCCTCATGTTAGATCCCACATGTATGCACACAAATGTAGGTGTCTGTCTCAAACTTAGCTGCCATCATAAGCGGAGAAACAAAACAGGTTGCTCAGCACAGCTGTTTTTTAAGGCCTCAAGAGGAATCGAGCCAGATGAAAGGAACGGACCATCTTTGGAGAAAAGTTCAGCAGAAGATATGAAAGGTTCCCATACACCAAAACATTGTACTTTTGTGCCTGTGTTTATAAAGGTAATTCTTTAGGTAGGGAACCCTGAGACTTGTTAGTAGGGCAGTCTAAAGGATACTTTTTCCCCTGTTGTGTAGACACAAAGAGGCAACGCGTACGTTCCATTTAAATCTCTTTGCTGGTCATTTTTTGATGCATTTTCCCTAACATTTGCCACTTTTATGCACAGTGACACAGATTCAGCAAGAGGAATGAAGCATGCCCCTATCTTACTTTACAGTCTGAAGGTCACTGAAGTCTTCCGGGCAATGGTAGGTATGAATCTGGATCCTCTTAGACAGTAGAAGGAATTCTCATCTGCATTTGTCATCTTTGCTGAGTAATTTTCACACTGAATTATCAATTCAGTGTTCTACTGAAAAGGACCTCAACCAGCCATACTTAAAAAGGAAAAAGACCTCTCCCCCCTTCCCATGCTGATATCTTGCAGGTAGGTTCTTCTCCTTTCAAAGATAAAGGCTCTAAGGCACATAAGCTCTGAACAGGAACGGCTGAAGCCCTCTCACTTTAAGGTTTTCCTATTAGCTGGCTTGAGATGACTCTGCGCAGTATATTGGTTATTTGGATTGCCAACTGTAGGAATAGGAACACAAAACTACACTGGGAAATTGTGCTGCCATACGGTCACTGGGCCTTGCTCACTACTTCCAAAGTAGTAGGGAAGAAGATTTGGCTCAAGTACTATCAGGAGATTAGGAAGCGCTTATTTTCACTGAAATCCACAGAGGGTCCAAGGCACAACTGCATGTTTTTGCCTCAAAAAGGAGCAACATACACTGCATCACTGAGGTCTCAGTATAGCTACTGCAAGTTCCTGCCACTGTCACTTACAGACTTCTTGACATGACATCTCCAGGGATATGTCACTTCTCAATAAAACAGGAAAACTGTGCGTTATCAAGCAACCTTGAACTGCTTCCTTGTTTTTATAAAAAAACTGTAATTACTTCTACGCTGCATTTTGAAACAGTTTAAACAAAACTGTCTGTATGGTTGTTCAGGAAAGGACAGGGCCAACAGCTTAACGGTTTGCACCCAACATTTCTGTGTATCTATCCTGACTTACTCATCTCTAGTAGCAGCTACTGAAAGTTTTAAAAACAGAAATAATTTCAGTTTTCAGTTAAAAATACGTAAATCTAATGCACAATTGTGCATGGCCATGCCATACACATGAGCATAAAATACAGTGTTAAATGTCGATGGTGCTATAGGTTTGTTGGCATATGTGCACCAAGATAACTCCGATGAAAAGCACTGAAAAATAAAAAGGAACAAAAATTGTTTCAAGCATGGATATGCTATTAACATCTGAAACGTTAATAGCGTGACCACCAGACACCTCCGTGCGCTAACAGGCTCTAATTGCCTTAACCAGCATGTAACCATATTTTTCTGCAGTGCCCCTCTGCAACCTCTTACTCCCACCTCCTGGGGATTTAGCTATTTGTGCTCAAGGTCAGCTCTGATACAGCACAGCCACGTAACATTGGATCAGACTGCTGTGAAAATAGCTAAGTTGTAAGAAAGAGCTATGAGCATTTGCAGCATCATTGATGCATCTTTCCCCCCCTTGGCTTGGGAGCTTTTAAGCCCTTGCCTGAGCTATGATGCAGGTCTGCTGTGCCTGCTCTTGTACCTTGCTGATCCTGACCCTTGCCTCGCTGACTTCACTGCCTGACTTGACTTTGGACCTGCCTTGTGACCATTTGTCTGGCAATCATTGGACTACTGCCTGAACATGGCTATAGGGCTACCACCTCCTCTGCTCCCATCTTACAGGAGGAAAGGGCCTGAACTGGGGAGTCAGGAGGAGATAGTGGAGTCTTAATTTCTTCTGGAAGGCTATTCCCTAACTTAAGATTGAATTGAAGTTGCAAATGCCAAGCCTAAGCTTGTGAAACCTAAGAATTGGAGTTTATGCCTGCAATGCCAAATAAAACCAGTCTAATTAATACTAGAGAAGCTGATTTTCTGATAATTTTACTAAAATTAAACTACTTGTACTCTTGCAGTATCCATGGTTCAAAAAGTACTTTAGCAAGTCAGTGGTGGGTAGCTGGGGTGGTCTGGTGTCTATTAGTACCCAAGAGTACCCCAGAGCTTACCCTGCTCTGGGGCCAGGCCAGTGGCTGAATGCCGCATGCTGGAGAAGTGACTCGGATTTGAAAAGCAGCCCTATTCCAGACAGAAAGGCACCTCTGACCACTGACCCATGATAACCGACAACTAAAATTAGAGCTTACAAATCACGTAGCTTTTGGGCTGCAGAGACAGTCACTTTGCAAAGAAGAAACTCTTAGCATTCCACCAATACCGAAGACTGACATAACTTACCAGGACCGGTAGCTTTAGTTGCACGTGTAAACAATGGAAAGTGCATGCTGTTTAAGAATTTATCTAATCATTATTTATTTTCAAAGACTGTTTACAGTTTCACACACAAGTAGGGCTGACACGGTGCACCAACATAGTCCCGTTTTTCTCCCTCCTTTATTCTCTGCTTTTGGTTCTGTGATGAAGTTCCTGCAAAGGTACTGCATCGCATCACCTTTCACTTCATATCCCTCCAAACTCCTAATGATAATAGACTGTTTCTACTTCATAACATGTATTGTTTCTCTGTCTAGCTAACTCATTTGATAGTTATTTTAAATATATATTTTTACAAAGGTTTAGTTTCTGAAAATTATTTTGTAAAAAACACCACCACAGCACTCTTCATTGGCTGCTGGTTGGCATAGTTCAGTTGTTCTGCCCTTTGCTGTTGGCATCTTGGAAAAGTACCTCAGAAAGTCAAATGAATGAAGCCTTTACAGAATCAGCTGTCACACCTGGCGAACTTAAGGAACAACAGGGGCATCATATTTTTACTGTTGCTGTTACCTCTGTTTATCACCACACCCATTTCTATCCTTATTCTTGCTAAATTCCACTAAAACTAGTACAATGAGGAGGGTCAAGGAATATAAAATTAATTGAGATCGTTCCTCTGCACTGGAGCTGTAAGATCATCTTGACTTTACATGCATTAGCACACCCCCAGACTCGCATTGAATTTAGCCAGCGACAAAGTCATGTATTTCTAACTTTTCAGAAAGATTAAAAAAAAAAAAAACAACAGATGTTTCTGATGATTTGTATTTAATTGCTCAACAACAATTTGCATACACTAAGCAGAAAATTACTTCCACACGTAATTACTGTACTTGTCCTTTCAGACTTATAAAAATAAAGTCAGACAAATATATTTTGATGACCTGCTAGCGTTACTGTTCAAAAAAAGTTGAAATCAGTTAAATGGTTTTATTCTCAAAACAAGAGATCAACAATATAAAATATTTTAACACTATTCCTGTTTAAATAATGGTGACAGATTACGTGTTTGCTTAAATAAAGTGCTATTTTTACAAATAAGTATTTCATATTTCCTTTTACCGCCCTTCTAACCTCTTAATATCGGTTAGATAAAATATACTTCAGTTAATGAAGAAAACAGCATTACCTTTCCATTATATCTTTTTCATGAAACCATTACATTTTAAACTTGGACTCTTATTGGTATTCACAGAAAACTCCAGAGGCTTACTCAGTGTAGAGATATCCACAGGCAGAAGCTTTCGTAATTTGTGGTGATTTTCACTGTCATCATCTTGTTGTTCTTGAGCGTATCCATGTAGGCCTCCTATGGTTTCATCATCTATGGGCACCTCTGAAGAGCAGAATGAAAATAAACGTACCTTCTCACTCTTCCTGCTCTTCTTTCTTTGTTCTCCTTGAATCCAAATCAGTGAAGCACTGAATATTTCAACATTTAGGCTGAACTTTATGAGCAATCTCATTTTATTTTTCTTTGCTGCTTCGTGGGATTGGAACTACAGACATTACTGCAGAAAGTTCTTGCGTGTTCTTTATTGGTGTAGTTAGCACCAACTTTTCAAATTTGCATTTGTACACTTGGACTTACTCAGCCAGGCCCCAGAATTCATCATAAGAAAAGATCTTTTCCCAGTAGCTACCTTCTAGGAGGAACAGCTTCTTGTGGTTTTACAGAGCAGCCAGGTGCTGTAAAGGGGGGGGGGGAGTAAAAAAAAAAAAAAAAAAAAAAATCTGACAACCTGCCATCAGCTAGACTCACAATCTTATTCTAAAGACAGACCAACTCCACAATTATTGCAAACAGGCTCACATTTCCTAATCTCATTGCTACACCAGACTCCAACATTTTGACCCTTTTAATGCATTTTACTCATCTTAAGCCCTCTCCTGTATGGAAAAGGTATGAAAAGTCAAATTCATCTATGAAGAGGTCAACTGCTACCACAAACCTTTTCAGTATCTCTCATTATTCCATGAGTACCTTTCCAACAAGTGACAACCTGGACCTTGTACAATTTTTATTTGCAAATCTGCATTATTTTATTTTATTTTTACTTCTCCACCTCCACTCTAACTCTTTCCTCTGGATAAGCTCCATTTGATATTTTTTACTTTAAATTCAAAGGTGGAAAGCAAACAACCACTCCCGATTCTCTTCCATGTTATTCTGTAATGTCTTTTTATTTACCTATATATGTATCTGCAGATACACAGATGTAAACATATAGGAATATGCAACACACAATCATATGTAAAGAGAACCTGCAAGATCAGAATAACTGCCAAGAGTTACTTTTATCATAAACTGAGTGACATCCTACTGCTTTTTCACCATTGTCATAGTTAATTTTTCATTTAACTGGTATCTGGAAAATGTTCAGTTTATACTTCTGGTACCTAAAATCCACCCTTTGGTCAGTTCTGCAGCTAGGTAACAGGCTATTTTGTTTTCTTTCCTGTTTACCCACGAGTGTTAAAGTGTTACAGTAGGTGAGGCGCAGGGCAGTTGCACACCTATGGATATCTATTTTTACCTTGCTGAGGCTGTAGGGAAGCCTTCAAGAGACACAAACATGCATATATCCTTAACCCAGAGAACTGTTAGCTAGCCTGCTTGCCACATTTGGTCTTTTAGTTAGTATTAACTAGAAGTATTCATATGTTGTTCAATCAATTTTAGGTGCTACTTACAGTGGGAATTGCCAGGAGGTCGTGTGTTACTAACACTACTCTCAAAAGAAGAGTGGAAGTTGTGGATAGTTTCTTGTAAAATCTGTCTCTCTCGTCCCTGTAAAAGTAATATAAATTAAAATAAGGCATCCTTAAATTTCTGTTTCAAAAATTAATTTATTAGGAGTTAACAAAACATGTGAAAATACAGACCAACTGTCATAGTGCGCTATTAGCAGTAATAGCGAATAGTTACCTACAAGATACACAGAAAGCATTGTAGTAATCTATTCCTGAAACCACCAGACAGCAGTGCAACTGTTTTCAGAATTTTCTTCATAACTGTTTCGCATAGAGAATCATCCACCTCCCCTAATTTTTGGCGTGATCACTTGCTCCTGTTGAGCTTAACTTGGGGGAGCTTTTTATCTTTATGGGTTTTGTGATCTGAGCTTCCAGTATCAGCGAGAACAGATCTTGAAACTGAACAAGCAGCTGAGAAGTGTCAGCAAGCCTAATTATAGATATGCTGCAGTCCATAATCCCTCTGACAAGGACGTGGCTTATTGTATGCCACTCTTTATACTCATTTATACTTGTCAATACAAAATGAAAAGGCAGGAAAGACGTAAGGAATGAGAAAAACTGCTCTTTATCGAATCAGAGAGAAATCACAAATTGTTAGGAAAAAAGGGGAACTTTCACATTATATTCTGGAGCTGGATTGTAAGCTTCTTTCTAGCATCACTGAAATTGAAATTCACTAAACTCTAGTAAGGCCAATATGCATGCTACAATTAGCTTCTGATATAATTGACAATAATGCGTAGAGGAACTGTACAGTTACTGAACAAGGAAAGAGTTAATGAAAGAGAACAAGAAGGAAGATATTTTTCGCTAATCAAACGCATTAAATGCTTTGTTTGGAAAAGTACTAAAAATGCAAAAATGCTTTGTTTTCTATCTGCAACTCAATTTTCCAAAATCTGCAACTGAATTTTCAAATCCATGTTGAATTACCAAATATAATTAACTAATTAAAGGTTTGTTTAAGTACACTACTTCAAAATGTACCTTTCCCGCATTCAGTTCAGAAATAGCTGCCAGAATTTGCTGCCTTGACCCATCAGTTTTAATACCCAGCTCTTTCAGATCACCATCAGTAAGCGTAAGGAAGGCTTCCATATCCACCTACATAAGAAAGAAGAAGGAAAAAAAAAAAAAAGGCAACATTCACCTAGGCATAGATTCCCTCCTGAAGAAAAATACTTCTTAGAATGTATACATTTACTGTAAATATTATGCACATAAAAATGTTTAAGGAATTACCACCATCAAAATGTATCCACTTTACCACTCTGTTGTTGGGTTTTAAACCTGTTGTTAATAACCCAAATAATTATGATAATACATTCAAAATATTTCTATATTTTTGTAGTTAGAGGGGCACAGTCAATACAAAATTCCTCTCAAAAATTCTGTTCCTCACAAAAATTCCTCTCTGTATTTTAACGGTCAGTTTGACATGCCTAAGATTTTTCTCTCCACTTCTTTTCCTTATCTCCTTTCTTGTATTTGAGACTTTCAGAATACTGTGTGTACTTTTCCGGAGTCTCCTAAGGAAAACTGAAGATTTGTTCATACCGCAGTTTTTATTATATCAATGCATCCATAAGGCTGTGTTAAGAACAAACATCTAATTTTTCACATTGATTTCACCTCTGCACAGAGCATATTCATTTCTACAAAATGCTCTCCCACCATCCTGCAGGAGAACAGTAGTAAGCACAACGTGCTGTGATGCAGCCATATAACATTTGTTTTGGGTGCTGAATATTCTGTAACATAGTGGGACCATACTTCTCAGCAAGAAATTCTGAACTCAATGCCAGCAATGCCAGTTCACGTTTGTGTGTTTTGTTTTGCCCAAAGATAGAGAGCAGGGAACAATTATTGCTCACAACTGATACTGTCTTAAAAATTGTAATGAACTATCTGTAAATATTTTCAGCATTGTTTCTTCTCATCGCATCCTTCAGGCGAGTCACTATCATAGGCCTTGTCTACAATGATGCTTAGGTTCCTCATATTAAATCCACTTCCTCTTATTTGTACCGGATAAAGAAGAGAAAGCAGCCACCTCAGTGGCTCACCCCCTGCTGTTCTCAATTTGTAAATGAGGTTCCAGTTTAATTCCAGGGGTGATACAGACATATACAGAAAAAGCAGTACATAAAAACAGAAAAAAAGAAACCTGAGATACCTATGACAATATTGCAGATTGACTGAAAAAAAAATTGCTATTTATGACACCCTGAAAAATGCCAAAATCTGCAGCCACAGTACCAGGCACTAATACCTGAGATGGAAAAGGACACTCACAATTGCCAGATTTATTGCCACATAGATATCATTTATCTACTCAAGCAGATCTCTCCATATACATTACTATTTGGTCCATGTTTCAAAGTCCTCTCTACAACCAGACGTGGTTGAAAAGACTCAAAATTAAAGCTGAGATTCTGGATCACAATTCTGTGCGTCACAACCTATGTTTTCTAAAACACCAGAAAATAAGTCTTTTTTTTTTTTTTTTTTTTTTTTTTAAAAGACTTACCTCTTGTTCCTCAAAAATAGGCTGATATTTCTCAAGAGACAATTTTTTAAGGATGCCAGTCAGCTCATCTGTAGTAACAGAAAAGAAAACGAAAGATGGATCAGAAGAGGTTAATTTTAATGATCTCTCTGGAAAACGTCAACTATATAACTATGCTGAGGACGTGCTATTAAAAGATGCATTTCACATAGTCATGTATCGTAACAGAAAACAAAGCATGTTTATTCTGACTCTGCATCAGAAATAAAAATATTCTGTGTTCTGACCTACTGCAGTAAACTGGCAATTCTATCTAGTCTTATTTTGAGAGGATAAAAATCTTTCTGTTGCATCCCCCTTTCCTCCTCATGAAAAGGATCTTCAAAAAGAACCAAAACACTAACGACAACCCAGACACTACAACACCTAAAATGCACCTGCTTGGCCCCAGATGGGTGACCCATATCATCCACCAAAACTCCTCAAGCAGGCAATTAACTGAATCCATATCATGATCCACAAAGGCAAAATACAGAGCAAGCAACCAGCTAGTCACTCGTTCAGAACACTGATACAAGGGTATAGCTGAACCTCTTCTCTAACCACCTGACATCCAGGCTTGAACACAGATAGCTGAAGTCTACTTAAGATAAATTCTTGCCCAAGTTTCACTTCAGCACTGGTATTTGTTTTCCTCCCAAAGACCGAGGAAAATTAAAAGTTGGAGGACCCAATAGGCACTCTTCTTAACACACACTTAAAACGTGATTAGCCACTTAAAAGCAAAAGTGTGTTTTTAGAATAACTCACCACTGCCTGTCTTAATTACATACTACCTCCCTGAACACACGATTCTGGTTATTTTCATTGCTTTGCTATCACACGTGACTAATGCTTTCTTTTTCCTGTCGTGCCAAAGTGGTCATTTGAACTGAGGAGTCAAAGTAAAAATGAACAATATGAATGATTGCATTATACCACAAAACTGTATCTATATATTTAATATTCCTTATATAAACTCCCTTTCATTGTAAAGACAGCACTATCTCATTTCTAAACAATTTTTGCCTTTACTTGGCTTCTACCTTTTCTGATTGTCCCTTTTCTTTCACTCTCAGTAGAAACATATGAAAGAGATTCACTCTTAGCTTCCCAAAAGAGAGCAAGTATATTGAGACAGAGAAACTTTTCTATTCACCATTCTGGAAGGCTCCTCCTTCGTTTACATAAAAGAGTCCATGGAAAACTGCAGTAATATCACTGGTTGAGTCTTAGTTTTGCTAGATTTTTGGTTTTTTACCTCAAGGTCAATTAATTTGGGATGCTTAAAACGATTTGTAAAGGTTGGCCTGGATTCAGGACAAAAGCTTTAGTTCCCTGAGGTTAATCCATGGGAAAAGGTCTAACATAAAGTAACCAGCTTTAAAAACATAGCGTAAGAACTTTTCCACACAGTTTGACAAGATAAATATCATCTTACTGAAAGATCTGAAGGATAAAGAAACAGAAAGATAAAAGTTGCATTAGAAGCACTTACATACCCCATATATCTCTCTCATATATCTTCCTTTCGGGTTATTCGTTAGCCCTCTCATTTTTCAGCCCACTATCATACCTAGATTATAGGATGGGGTACTAGAAGAACCTTTCAGGGTCTCTGAGCCTAAAGCCTTGCAGTCATACAATCATAACATCTAACATGTTTCACACGTTTAGACAATGCCTTCACCTGCAGGCCTTTCGTGGTTTCTTCTCCTCTTTTCCCCCTTCCACTTCCTGGATCATACATTAAGTTTGAACAAAATGAAACCTCTTAGTTTTATAACTCCTGTATACCATATTGTTTCTCCTTTGCTTTTTCATTAGGCCTTTCTTCTGCTGATACCCATATCTAGTCTCGGTAGCTACATCGCTGGAAAAAGCAAAGATTCTCAGAGCTCTTCTCTACTACTTCCACATAACTCCCATTTAACACCTCTTCAGTACTTTTCTATACTAATAGGGTGAGATGACCTTTCTCCAGGTTTTCACAGCCTCCTTTTAGTCTCACATGGTTTCTTCTTTCATGATTCTCTACATCACTGGTTCTCAGAAGAGGGATAAGCTGCTGGTGGTCCACCAACTGGTTACCTAGAAAGAAACAACATACACCACTGAACCATGCTGCTTACTGTTTCTTCACAGTGATAGTCAATGAAAGTCAGTATTCTGGCTTGTCTAAGTTTACTAACATCACAGGCCTTTTGCACTTATTCTTCTGATTACTACTGGACCTCATGGAGTATTTGTACTGTTGCTGCTGAATAAACTCATAACAAGAGAAACCTTTGAATCAATAGGCTACTTAACTACGAGAGCTTAAAAGCACAATGACCCAGAATCACTTCGGTTTCTTACAACCTATAACTCTGCCACAGAGGAAGCCTACTGTACAAGCGACTCTACACACTACTGTACGCACTGCTGGTGAGGTCATAAAGCTCTGCCTTTCAAGGTGAGATTGCAACAGCTGATATACCGGAGGGAATTCCCCAAGCTCTCAGATGGAATTCTCTTCCCTCTCTGTATTTCTAAACAAACAACTCATGCTATCGAGTCAACACTATAAAGTGGCGCTAACATTTTCTTCAGTAGTCAGTACAATAGGCTAAAGCTAAACCATGGTAAGAGGACAAAGTGAGTCAAATACCACCTTTCTTTGCACTTTGAAGTACAGTGCCAGGATAAAGTTAGCATATGTGGGGAAAAAAGTAAAAAACCACCAATCCTGTCACTTCCAAAAAACAAAAATAGGATAAGCGTCTCTTGCAGAAACTAGAGAAAAGGGACCCCTATCACTTATTTAAAAGATTCTGAATCATGGGGGTTTTTTTTTCCCCCCACTTTTCTGAAAGATTTAGAGGGGGGTGGGGGGGGGGCAAAACAAAAAAAAAAAAAAAAAAGAAGTGATATCCTCTCTCCAGTGCAGTAACTGGACATTTTTTAATCAAGTATTGTAATTTAGATCTAGGAGTTCAACTTATCTCATTGGAAAAAACAGCAGCCTCATTGGAAAAGTAGTAACATTTTTATTATCCTTTCTTATCCCCTAGAACTAAAGTTAAAATAAGGCTATTTTTGCATTGCAAAAAAATACTGCAATACACAGCTCTTAAAAATCAGTTGCATGTTGGTATCATGAATCAAAACTGTCTTACTGCAATTATGTTTCATTGAATTTATTAAAAACAATATTTTAATTTCAAATGTGGAGAAAGTACATGTTCTACCCTCAGTTACAATGTGTAAACAGTGAAAAAAATAGGACTCAAGCCAGAGACAGGGGAAGGAAGGAGGTGACGTAAGAGTTGCCTATCTACGGTTCTGCACTAGCTTTGAGATGGTAGCAAGCTCCCTCTAAATGGAAGGGGATAACACCTTTGGGGAGCTGAAAAGCTACAGTCACTGCAAGAATGCTAATCTCACAGCAAGAAACACTAACATATTTTTTCTAGAAAGAAAATTGTTCTTATTGCCACACAGATGCACAAAAATCCAGTACAATTAGAGCTTCTAATTCTTTGTGCTCTTCATGAATCTCACATAACCACAGTGTCCTACTCACCATCTTCAGTAATAGTACCACTGCTGGAACCATTGCTCTTGGCCTGTCTGTGAGAAGAAGAGAGAGAGGACTCTGCGTTGTGAACCTTAGGAGACGGAGAGGGTGATGGGGAAGGTGTGAGAGTCGGTGATGTACTTTTAGATGTAGATGAAGTCCCAGATGGAGGTCTTTTTTTCACTTCCAGTTTTTGCTACAGTTAATGATACAATCATTTTTTTTAAAAAAAAAAGTATCATTAAAAAAAAAAAATCATTAAAAAAACCTGTTAACCACATGATGCTTCAATATTATTTAAGGTTCATATTATTTCTGCAGAGCATGTAGTCCCAACTATATGCTTCTGCTTTATTCGTATTGAAATAATTAGAGCAATACCAATTCTCCCTTGGTGAGACTCTGTCCCCTTCAAATGCATCCAGAAAAAAAACACATTTATTAAGGACAATTTTCCTTAAAGCAGTACTGTATGCATGCACTACAATTATTCTGTTTATAAAAGCTGAAATTATTTTGTCTCTGAACACAAGCCATTGTCATTCACAGATTTAATTAAATACTAAGTTTTTCAAAGCATATTACAACTCCCAATTTAAAGTAGCACTTCTAGCTGGATTAACCTCAAATATGTAATAAGCACAAACTTCACATTTCAGTTTCATTTCAGTTTCCAATCAATCCAATTCCAAGCTTGACATTATTACCTAACATTAGTCAAACTATTCAAAACATATTCATTTCACAAATATCTAATAGATGTGGAGACATGGAAAAGGGAATAATGGATGAATGACAAACGAGGAGCAAGAATATGTACGCATGTATCACATAAGTATGCATGTATGTATCTGCCTCTTCCAAAACCAGACCATATACCTCATCTCCTAAACTACTGAATCTCTCTACCACTTCAAAGATTTCAGTGTTTGCATTATATAACCTAAAAAAGAAGTCTAGATGACTTTCTCCTGGATTTCTGAATTTTAAGTTTAACTTAGAATAGCTGTGTCAGTCAGGCTGCTACAAAGCAGCTAGAAGAAAAAGGCCGAGATGGGCAAAGAGTCAAGAAGAGAGAGGGACCGTGATTCCTGCCTCTCGACAATTTTGTTTCTGTGCTATGGTATAAAGGGAACATTTCTAGTTAGTGAACAAGATGCAGATTAAACAGATAAAGAGGATGAACATTGGTAAAATTCTTCTAGTACTCTATCCTCTGCCAGAATGTACTTTCTCCTTAGCTCTGTATCTGAAACGTCTAAAAGTCACCCAGCACGACACAGTATTTTTTAGAGTTTCTTTTTGTCTCTTACTACATTCCTAAGTTTCCCGCTGTATTGTGTTACTTGTCATCTGCACTGCAGAATGCTCTTCCCTTTCAAATGCACTGTCTGTGTTTACTTAAATTACATCATCCTGTAAACTGTTATTCAGTTTTTCTTCTCCTTTCTTTAAGGCTTGTACAATCTCTTCCTCACAGACAGCTTTTGCAAAATTGATCAGGGTAACATCACTGCACTTTTTAGATCAGCTATTCCCAAGTTTAGACTGCATGATTCTAATGGCAAAAGCGTTTCCATGACGGATATAGAGGTTAAATTCACAGCATTTATTTAGGTAGGTGGTTACAACAAAGTAGGCTTCTACGATCTTGCAGCTGGTGTGGATCTCTATATGATTGCACATTTCCAACAGGCACTGCTGTCCGGGCCACACTGGTCTCAAACATGTGGTACATGAACATCTATGATGAGATCCATGCTGCCTATAAGATGTGTCAATGTTGGGTAGACGGAAGTCCATCTAGACACGTAAGAACAGAGGAAGCGCTGCTGTTGCTTCTGGGACGCATTGTCATCATTTCTGTTTAAAATCTGCCTAACAACACGAAGAGCCGCCTGCCCACAAGATGATTTACAGGGCACTACATTTCACTGCCGCTTTATCCCTGAACGCGTTCCACTGTGAGTGGGAACGTTGTTTGACTTTTTAGTGGCAGTATTGTAGCAACAGGCCCTAAATTTGCAGCTCAAAGCTCATAAGTATAGATATCATCTCTTATTGGACTAATTACAACTAGGGAGGGGAAAATAAACAAAACAAAACAGACTTAAGGGGCACACAAGCATTTCTTCATGTCTGAAATTATTTCCAAGGTAAAAAACAAGCTGAGAGCAACTGCTGAGAGTTTAATTAGAAATATATTGGTCAGACCACCTCTGAAAGAAAAAGCATTTGGTACCTGTTCAATAGGGGAGACTCTAATGAGGGAAGAGGATAATAAACTGGCTATGTCTACAGCAAAGAAGGAGACGGATCATTTATAACCCGTGGAGCAATTATGCAGGGGCAGAAAGGGAGGAAAGATTATAATGTCTCAAAGAACCAGTATGAGTCCACAGCTTTTGGGGTCCAGCGGAGTTATAGATTTTAGTTCCTAATCTCATCTTTGAAAAGGAACCAGCAGTCCCTTCTGGATGAAAAGCGACAGATCAGAGACAAAGTGACTGTTCACAGAAAATGTTCTGGCATTCGTAGTTACAGGCTTTTGATTGTTTTCTTCCAGCAATTTCACCAATTCAATCACTTAATAAGTTTTTAACTTCATTTACCATTGATACTTGCTGATTGAATACACATGTTTAAGCCGATTGCTTACTGTTGCCATATAAGACATCACAGAATGATATAGCAAGTGTAATCATTTTATATTATGACAATTTTTTTTTTTCCTTCAGTCAAAACACTGAGGATTTCATGAACAGATTCAAAGAAAACAGAAAGAATAAGCTGTTTGGAGATTACAGAAGGGAAAAGTTGAGAAATTCTGCTCTTAATCATGTATACTAACATCTGCAGAATATCACACTTTTGAACTAACACCCCAAATTACATGCTCTCTATCTCCGTCATTCACATTCTGAAATTTGAGGTTTCCCTTTGTGAATAAACCCCATGTACTTCACAAGAGCATATCACATATCACATCTGTTACTGCTTTTCCTTAAGAAGGAGGGAAGCTAATTTTATTTTCATATATAATTTCTTACAGGTTTTCAATATGCTGCTGCTTTCTAACTTGCCCATATGCACATTTTGAAGATTTAAAATCTTCCTCTTAAATGCTCTTATTGAGCAGTGCTGGCTTCAAGCTACAAGCACATAATGGGCAAATCAGGACAGTAAAGCTATTTCAGGAAAACAATAGATAAGGCAACGTTGATGCTACGTTCTGCACCCAGGAGCAACACCTGACTGGTGATGACAACCTAAAGTTCACATAGTTCAAAATTAACACCTTGCGGAGCAGACTGGATACATACATAGCATTTAGCAGGGGCAGATCCTCGTACAAATGTTCTCATATTCTGCATACAAGTTGTCCCTTTGGGGTGAAACTAGCTAGGCTGCTTTAGAGGAGACCTCAAGAAGAACTAACATGTAAAACACTGGGGATAATCAGGGTCCTAGAGAGAAGTAACAAGTAAATCAAAGATACACCCTAAGATCCAGTACTGCATTTACTGTTTTTAAAATCCAGGGAAAACAATCAAAAGAGAAAAACATGTTTTATGATTAGGTCTGCTCTTTTGTAGGTTTATAATTAAAAGCAAGGTCTGTGGAGCTGAAAAGCTTCCTCTACTGTAACAGGAATTCACTCATTTTAGGCTGTGCCATATCATGCAATTATATTTATATAATTGCACAACTGAAACATGCTCTATTAAGATTTGCCATTTTAAGAGTAAAAAAAATTTACATTAATCTATACCATTACAGCATGTCCATTGCCAACGACTTGAGTACACTGCAAATCAGACAGGGTGGATGAAGGAGTTGTCTGGATTGGACTATGCTGTTGGCTAGGTTTCTGTTCAGGTAAGCCTGCTGCTTTTCTTCTTTGGGCTGCAATTTGAGACAAAACATTATCTGCACTGCCACCTAAGAAATAAAAATAAAAATAAAAAAAAGTCAAGCCAGCCATCATTTAAAAAAATGTGTTAATTCTCAATTCACCTCTCTCCACTATTCACTCCTCCTTAAAAACTAACTGCATGAATTGAGAGAGAGAATTAGAAGGTTCAGAGCTGTTCATCAGCTTTCCGGAGAGGCGGCAAAAATCAACCAGAAACTGAAACAAATTAATCAAATGAAAGGAGAGAAGCCAACCTTATCTATGGTCACACACACATACAGTTGGCTTTTATATTCTTGGAAGACAGGTTTCACAAGTTGCTTCACCATAAATTTTTTACAGCTTGTTTTTTAATTGACATAAAAACACTGAAAAAAAAAAAAAAAAAAGGACCAAACTACACAAAATACATGTTGCGATGAATAACACCAGCATCCATCTGAGTCATTGTAGGCAAACTCAATAAAAAAAAAATAATCAATGAGCTCTTTCTGAGACAGAAGTTAACCTACGCGACTTTCATAAGAGGTACGAGGCGTTTGTTCCCTTATATAGGGTGTCCAACGTCCATGGGTCCTTAAGTCCAATCCTGTTCGCACAAAGTTTATGGAAGCTTTGCTTAAAATCCTATACAGCAGTAGGAGCTCTCAGAGAAAGTTTAGTTCTCTCTGCCTTAAACATGAACATTAATTTTTAGTTGAACCAGACTCAAATATATTAGAAATGAAAGCAGCATGGTACCTGATCTGTTATGCAGTTCTCCCCCATGTCTGTTAATCGCTGCAATGTTATTGGATCCACCAGAAGAATGGGGAGAATGATTGAAGTTGTTAGAATTTGAAGGAGACGCAGGTCTTCTTGCAAACGTTGGCAATTTGACTGGTCTAGTACCTTTGCTAACAGATGTCTGACAAAGAAAGAGAAAAATAATGTTTATCATCATTATTTAAGCAAAAGAAAGATCAAACTTCAATCATCATTTTATGTGCCACATTCAGTTTCTCCGAAGAACAAAAAGGACATAAAAATAAACTTACGTTACATATATGTGTATATTTCTACAAATATATACATAAATATATATATTAAATATATTGTAAGTGTATATCTTGGAAAAAAAAAATATATATATTTTCAAGAAAAGCAATGACTCTGTAATAAAGACGTAAGTTTCCTCCATCTTTGGCCAACACAAAATAAAAACGTGATGTCTCTGAGATATGAAATACAAAATATTATGAGCTGTGCAAAAAAAACCCACATTCTCTCATAGAGAATCCTGGTTTTCCCTCACATCTTACAAAAACAGTACCACATACTTCTCAGCTATCACATTTGTCTTTTTTTTTTTTTTTTTTTTTAAACTTTTGCTACCAGAAGATATGTACTCTCTTCCAGTTGCATTTTCAATCCTCTTCAGTCTAAACAATGCTCAGCAAAATGATGCAGGTAGATGATAATTAAGCCGTAACAATCTAGCCAAATCCTCAACTACATCCAACATCCTCACTGAATTCTTCTGCTTCTTACACTATTAACCACTGCCAATCACATGATATATGGCTTCTGAGCTATGCTTTGTTTCTTATCCTTTTACTCAAATCAATTCTTCAATCTCCAATTCAGCAGGTTTCTCTCCTTCTCCCTATTCCTTGACTGAAATCCTTTCCCTATAGAAGGATCTGTAGCTAGTCCTCCCCTACTTATGCTGCCCTTCAATTTATATGCTGGTGCCAATTATGCACTTCTGTTACTACAACTATCATTTTTAGGATAACGAACCAAAATTTACCTTCCTGTTATCCCTCTATCACTTTCCTTCCAATACACCTCATTCCACCTAACCTCTAGTAGCATCCAGTTGTCAACCTTCACTTGAAAGACAGAAAAAATTCCTGATGAAAAGTCTTTATTGTACCATTTCTAGAACTGACATGAAATGCAATTCCAAACTAGTAAAACAAACTCTTCTTTTAACCTTGTCCCTTACAGCCCAAAGTCAGGAGAGTCACTTCTCCTTTTTTCTGCTGCTAACCATGAAAGCAGTTGTCAGTGATGTTCTGCTTCCTGTCTCAAGAAAAAGCAAGATAGTTTCCTTTTGCTTTGCATTTTCCCTAAAAACACTGTAAAAAGAGGCGAGCTCCTTCTGTAAAAACTAGAATTTACATAGACTGCTCATTTTTTATAGTACCTTCATTTCAATTGAGAGTTTGAACTCTAAAGGAACTGGTGATCCAGTGGGCATGATTCTGTCTCATACTAACCTTTTCAGAATGTTATGCCTATATATATATAAAATCTCTCATAGGTATTTCTTCCCTTTCCCCAGTTCCTAAAAATTGAGCAACTTTTCTTCTCACCCCAGTCTTCTTCCAAACAAGAGCAGCTTCTGACACAATATGACGTCTGTGCCTACTTGGGCAACTGAAATATATAGGTGGAACCAAAAGTTACTTTAGCAGTTTGCAGCAAATTTGTCAGTGCTAGATATTCTTGTGAACAGCAGGAAAGTTTTTTACTTCATGCAAACTTTCATTCCATTCACTGCCTTTCCATAGAGACCTGTATTCTTCCTAAACAGCAGAGGACAAGCTATTAATGAGACACTGGGATTAAAAACATTTCTAATCAGAATTATATCGTCCTCTTACCATTAAAAGAACCTGAAAAGAAGATGACACAGAAGGAGAAAACATGTACAAAACTGGCATGGCTTACCAGCCAGCATGCTCTGGACATACCAGTATACAATATTTTCTTACACATTGCATTTACTTACTATATCAGAATTTCCACTGCTGTTAAAATCATGCTTGATTGCTCTCTGCGGCCAGGCAGTTCTCATCTGTTCAGCCTTACCATCTTTGTTGATTCGCGTTCGGTCAGAACTCCAAAGCTCAAAACTTGAAGGTGGTAAGAAAGGGGGAATCACTGCTTTCAGTTTATCACTGGGCAGCCTAGTAAATGGAGCGCTACTTCTCAACTGAGAGAGGAAAAAGAGAAAGGAAAAAAGACAAAGAGCCTCTTTTCAAAAAGATTACTGGGAGCTAATGATGCTTATTTAAAAATCAGAAATTAAATAAAAGGTACATAGTACCATAAGAAAAAAGGTGGAGGCAAGTATATTTTTAAACAAAATAAAATGTAAATGAGACAAAAGTTGTACTTGTGAAGATGCACAATATATAATAACAGAGGGAATGCACACTCTGGCATCAGTCAGTAAGCTCATTCATTTAATACAAAGAACATAAGTTTATTAGGCAGCAGAAGCTGTCTCTGTCTTTGCTGGGTTGAATCCTTCTTCAAATTGATTTTAACAAGAACATTAACAATCCACTTCCAAAGAAGTGACAAACAGCATGCCTGGCCAGGGAGTCCTCTGAATTCTTAGATAAGACACCTGGGAATATTGAGCAATTGCCTGATCCTGCTGTATGTGTTCTCCAGAAAATGAAAAAAAGAAATAATTAACATCGACTCTCTGGAGTTCTCTCAGCCAATCATATCAAAAGTTATTCAATCACTTTAAACAAGAGAATAAAAGACCACCAAAGTTAGCAATATTTCTATGGGGTAAGCTGTAGAGGCATTGAAAGTTGCAGCCTAACAAAACAGGAAACAGAAGAACATACGTATACATCCCAATGCAAATATTTCACGATTTCCTCTGTTATTTTTCTACTTTCGCATTGCACTATATTCATTGTTTCCCCCAGAGCACACTACTTGTCAGCAAGTAATCAGCTGTTCAATCAATTTTACAAATTCATTGTTGATACTCTTTCCGAAAAAAGTCAGTATTCATCAACAGCTACCACATCACATTAGTATTTCCGAGTCTAAGAACAACTGTGCCATAACTTGTCAGTCCCTGTCTAGTGACTATCAGTAAATGATGGCTCTCTTTTTAATGGTGACTTGTATAGCAAGGTAAAAATTGATGGAGATTTGCAACCTTCTGAGTTGGGCTGAACATATCAAGAACTCTGCAACTTACCATGGTTGTCAACAATTCATCATCCTTTCCTCCTTTTACAGTGCTTACACCTGAGAAACAGATAAATGATGGTTTATTATTTACAAGCTCCTACTTCTTATTCTCAAGGATAGCTTACTGCTTTCAAACGTCCCACAGTTTTACTGTCAGTAAGCGCTCAGACCAAACTTTCCATCGACACTACGTACTGAAATTAAGTCACCGCTCTTATTTCACATCACAAACCACTGGGGTTTTGCACGCAGATCCATACAATTGCAGTACACGTGCTTTATGATTTGGGCTTTTCTGATCTCTCTCTTTTCTCAGGTTTTTATAAATAAATTGGGTTTTCATTGCATACATTTATACCACGGCATATATAAATATATACCAAGGATACGAACATCTTCTGAGTGAGCTGTCGCTACTGTCCAATTTAACGGTGTTTGCTAGAAAACAGTAACACTGTGACATTAGCATATTTCTACTTAAACGATGCTGTACTCAGCATTTGGCACAATCAATAGTCAGAAGTACAAACATGACAGAATTAATATATAACCAGTCTCCTTCTATAACTACATATACGTTATGCATCTTTTCCTCTATATTAAACTAAATAAGTACATTAGAAATAGTATCATCCCATGAGAGGGCACTTCCCACAAGACAATTCTGGCTTTACCACTAGCTTTGTTATTTGTGATCCGAGCTGCAGCAACATCAGGGTTTCCAGAGGGGTCCGCATCATTCTGTGAAACTGCTTTTATGGTGGCATTTAACGAAGATTCAGGCTCATCAGGAAAAGGTACAAACTGATTGGAAGAAAATCCATGACGCAACGTCTGAGTCAACTTCAGCTTGCGGAAGCGATTGGACATCCTGCTCCACCAAGACTAGATTGATAAGATAGAACAATTTAGTTCTAACTAAAAGAAAAAAGAAAAGAAACGTACAGTTAAGTAATCTTCACTTCATCTGTCAAGAGTTTGAGAGAGAATAAACTACAAAAGCAATGTTAAAGCGGTTTGCAATTATCAGCAGAATCCTTCACTACAACTTAGATAAGATTAAAATCTTTCCTTTCTTTCACTTGGCAAATAGCTTATAATATTTTCCCACACTATCTGGAAAGACAAAGTAGCTTAACTTATTAGGGTAATTTGAATAGGAAGTTTTTACAACTGCATGGCAAATATTTAATCTTCCAATAAACTTCCAATTTCATCATCCAGTCTTAAACTCTCTGGCATCAAGGAACAGGCACGTACGTTTTCCTGCTTTTTCAAGGCATGCATAAAAGTTATCAGATCTGCATGAAAGCCATTCCTTAGGTTTTGGAAAAGTCAGTGGCAAGCTGGCAGTGTTCTGACAGTATTCCTGTCCATTCACGGTATGTACAGTCCTGCTATACAGATAACGTACAATGCCCACTCAGTTCATGCAAAGGGACTAAAAATATAGACTAAGTGCAAAGCAAGGAAATACGAACTGAGAAAATGACACAACCCTTAAAACACTGCACCTACAGCACCCACCCATATAAACACAGTACCTATGGAGATTGTCAAAGGAAGGGACCAGCTTTCTTGAAGCAAAATTTATTCAAATAGATTGTACACTTCCCACATTTTTTAGGGGGATGTTTCAAGAGGAATACTCTATTATTCTCCTGTTACGTTCCTCCAAACTGTAGAAGATCTATGGTCTATGTTAAGAAGACCTATGCAGTCAATATTAAGCATTACATGGCTTGGAGGTAAATAAATCAGATTATAAACATTCTCTGGTTATTTTTAGCAAAGTTTTTCTTCCCAGAACACTAACAAATTACGGTATTTTTAAATGATGATACCTCATCAAGGTAGTTTTGCATGATACACAATCCAGATATGCACTTTCCTAGTTCACTCTTTATTCTTGACCATTCCTTTTCATCATATGCATTCCTCTCTCTCCTTGGCATTTAAATGTACCTACTTCTAGATACATGTCGTCCCAACTGTCATACTAAGTAATAGAAACTGCAAACTTACTCCCTGTAAATCAGTCTTTCTAACAGATGATCATTAAAGAGATTTTAAACCTGCACAGAACATTAGTAATAGACAAAGAGTTCTCAGACCCTTGCATCTCTGTGGAGCCATACCTAACGAAGATTTACATTCCTTTCAGCAACAAAGACGTGGCGGGGGAAAAAAAAAAAAAGGCAAGAGAGAGAAATAGTTCTGAGAAAGCAAAAACAGACACACAGTTCAACATTATTCAGTGTTTATTCACGTTCCAACAGGAACTGAAAGGACCAAAAAAGTGTAGTTTTGATACAGAGCACAAGAGAGAGCGCTCATATAATACGGTCTGCTTGTCACAGGAGCAAGCTAGCCTCAATGATGGAAGAGATCACTTCTAAGTTCCTATCATTTTTGCTACTCCTCTTTATAGTGCTTCTGATTTATTAATAACATACGCTCACCACAAAGCCACCTGGAATGAAGTATGGACACTACACTACCATATAGAAAACTAACACCGCTCTTTGAAAAGAAGGGAATGACTGGGTGCAGCTTGTCTTCTGCCATTCAGAGTACAGTGGTCCAAGGTGCGGCGTCTGTAGTGCGCAGTTGCAGAAGGCAGGGACCCATCTGCAAACACTAACTACTATATCACAAATGCATGACAGCTGCAGTAAAGGGCTTTAAACCAGAGTGAAGCAGCCAAACAACAAAAATATTGCCTGTGAAAAGGCTGAAATCTAGTAGTAACTGGAAACGTAGTGGCATCAAACAAGATAAAAATGTTGTTGCCACCTGAGAAATACCTTAGGTATTTGTATGAATATTAGGAATAAAAGAGTAACAGAAGAACTGGAAACCTCTGCCCTCAAACAAAACGAAATCTAAACCGGAGACCGAACATGATAATTTGCACTGCTGTAATACCAACATTAAGAGTATAACTTGCTGCAGAGGGACAAGCAGGAAGAAAAGAGATGAAATAAAACTTTTGTACATGGAAAAGGCACAACTTTGTTTTCTAGTCCAGAAATTGGTGAGAAATAAACTAGTAAGAGTTCCCAGGTGAAATTATAGGGAGAAAGAGTAAAGATAATGGTCATTCACCACATACTCAATAGGTAAAGGAACAAGGGCCTGTACTATGCATAAATTAGAAATAAAAGAAAAACTAAGGAACTAAAAAAGTTTACTACTTAATGGCAAAAATGATCAAATAAGGGGCCACAGAAAAGTTTAAAGAAAAAAAACAAGACATTAAACTTCAGAACAGGATCATTTGTGATTAGGTATTTTGGTATAAATACCATTAGCGGCAGGAAGGTAGAAACACACATTGATATGGAAATTACACACTATAAATATTTAAATGAAGCTACATGAATTAAAACAAGAAAAAAACTGATTAAATTTACTCTAGAGTAATTGTAGTCCAAACAGTCTCTGAATCAATACTGATCATCTTCCAAAACTTCCTCCATCCTCCTACCAGTTCTTGAAATCAAGCAAAACACAAGCACACGTTTATCCAAAGAGGAAAAAAACCCGAAAAAATTACAGATCAAATCAGCTTAACTTGAAAGAACATCAGTGAAAAAACTTTCTATGTACCTACAGCTCACAAGAGACAGTTGGCATGCGTTTGTCAGGAAAAAGTTACATCAAATCAATCTTTGCTTGGCAGAATAAATCAATCTTTGCTTGGCAGAAGAGAGCACAAGCTGTGACGTACCTTGACTTTATTAGAGCTTTTATCACTATTCCACGTGATATTCTTTGAACAACTCAGGGAAATAAAGTGCAAAT